AGTTTTTTTTTCTCAATTACCTCAATTTTTGAGAAGTCAAAGGTTTAGCCTTAAATCAACTAGCTTTCAAGTTTGAATTCCACTCCAATAGGTGACCAAGAGCCAAAACTACAATCAACCAAGTTGACTTCCATCAATATAACAAAACTCAAACATTTGAACCCTCAATCTCTACTTCTAAATTGGTCAACCTTCACTTTACAAGAGGTAGAGTCTAACCATTGGTTTAAATAATTACCTTTAGCCTCCAATAGCATTAATAAGCCATTAAATCCCTATTAATGACATCACAAACTTCCAACCACCATAATAAATGGGATTTTCGGGTATTAATAGTGCCTAACAACCCAAGACACCAAAACTCATTATACCTAAATTTAGATACTCTAATCTACCCTCATTAGCTCTATTTGAGTCAATAAATTCAGACTCATAACTTATATAGACCGAAATCCCACTTCCACTATCAAGTCCCAACCATAAACTCATAAATGTGGAAGAAATGTGAAGATTAATGAATATGATACTTACTTTAGGTATTTGTAGCCTTCAAAATACTCTCAAAAGTCGTCCCTAAGCAAACCCTAATAGAGCATTAGTGTGTCCCTTCTTCTTTCTTTCCTCTTCTCTCTATTTCTGTCTCATTTTGAGTCTGATAAACTATAAAAAATGGCCATGCGCTGCGGTGGACGCACAACGCATTACGGCACATGGCACAGAGAGGTCCTTTCTTGCTCAAAAATGGCTGTACACCGCGGCGAACGATCTACGCGCCGTAGCGTGTGGCACAACAATTTTAACTCTTCCTTTTCTTCTCCTTTCAATGCTCAGGTGGCCCGCCTCAATACCGAACTCATAACTAGGGCCGAAATACCACCAAATATGATTATTAAACCTCTCTGGCCACACACCACTTTAACTTACTTAATTACCTTAATTAGGTTTAATTAATTAAGGAATTAAAACTCAGGATGTTACAAATATTACTATTATAACTAGTGAAAACATAAAACCTCACTTGAAAATAGATTTTTTCATAATATTCCAAACTTTGAAGTGTAAATGCTGTCATAACATAAAACTTATTTTTGAAATGTTCCAAGGCTAGTTATGAAAATATAAACATCACTAAAAAAATCACTAACTTCAATGAAAAATATAAGCACTAATGTGGCAGTCAAGTACCACGGTTCCCTTAGCTATGGCATGTAACGCTTTTCGCAACGATAAACAATGCATTTCATGACAATGTCATGGTAACATCCAAAGGTAGACTTCTAAAGTACATTGTTCCTCTGTCCGATGTTCAATTAGAATGATTCAAGTACTTATAAAAAACTTATTCAATTATCTAACTAATAATACTGGTTTCATTTCAAAATGACATTTCATTTTAAAACTGGACACCTGGTTGCAAAACAATCACTTTTTCAAAAGTAAAAGGTAGTCAAGTGTGCCGCAACCTAACCATTTGCAATTAGCCTCAAACTAGGCTCAAACCACATCCAGTGGACATTAAACACCTATTTGAATAGCTATACATGCAATGATATAATTCACAAATTTTGGCCATTTAAAAATCCCAATCACTTAAAATGGGATCAAATGCTTGAGGCATTACACACTGGAGAAATTGACCATTTCATGACATAACCAAAGCAATTATCTATCAATATGTCCTTGCAGTGGCATTTTAGCCCACGATATAACAATAACTCATAACAGTATCTCGATTAAAATGCAATTTCAACAAACACATCATGCAAGTACATTCAAAATTATATACAAATCCTAGTTGGCAACATACACACATGTACATACATATATACATATTATTTACATATTACACATAATCAAGGCACTACAAAAAGCAGTATGAAACTACTCCTTGCCTGGCTCTACCCCTTGGCTCCTACCAGTGCTATTGCCTGTAAAATAGTAATCATGAGGATGAGACAAAATCTCAGTAACCAAATAATCTAAATTATCTGTCCACAAATCAAACTATAAATAAAGCATGCAAGTGGGACAACTATAAATCATATGTTCACAATAAACAAGAATTGTCAATAAAATATAACACACATAATTACTATTCATTCAAACATAATCAACTACCTCTAACTGAATTTGTAGACTAACAACATATTGGACCAAATCTATATGACTAGACTAGTCCTAACTTACCTAATATAAAAAGCAATTTGGTTGAAAGTGTTATTACCATTTTCAAACTATAAATTCCTCCTTTTTAAATATTTAGGATGTCGTAATGCTATGGCTCACACATTTGTAGGTGATAATAAAGTTGCTAGTATAATAATCGAACACCAAAGCCACACATGATGTCAATAGTACCATATAAAATTATTACCTTTAGAGTAAACTCCCACCCGTTCATTAATCATGCAAAATTATACGGTAATGCATTCTAATGTATAATTAGTTATTTAATTCAAAGTCAATTATAAAACACATTTTGTAAGATTTCGTAAATTAGATATGTGTATGTGTGATGCTATTTTCAAAATCCTTTTAACGTTTCAAGTTTTCGAAACTATATTTATGAATGCATAAATCAACCCACAACACGCTTCCCTGTCGAGTGCTTTATGTTCCACGGCTCTTCGTTGCTATCTTGTGGAATTGCTTGTAGCAAAATCGTTTGTCCAAATGGCATCAGCAGATAGATCAGATTATGGATAAAAAACAAAAATGTTTCATGTAGATAAAATAAACAAATGCAAAATAGGACCTTTTCTATAAAATGTAGCAATTGATCAAAGATTAAAAAGGAAAACTCTATATAAATTATAAGAAAATCTTTTCACCAGAAATAATAAGAAAATATGGATACTTGTAGTTGTTAGCTTTTCAAGCCATAAAGTTTAAAGAAATTAACCAATCACTCTTTTGAAGTTTTAAAAGACGGTTGATGTAAGAATATCTGTTGGGAAACTGGGGAGAAAGGGGCAAAAATTAGGATAAATGGGCTAATTGACCCAAAAAAAATCTTATATTTAAAAAATATAGATTAAATTTTTAAAAATTAAAAATGTGATCAATTCACATTAATATATAAAGAATTTATTATTGATATATAAAAAATTTATCATGAATATATGACAAATATAATAAATTAATTATAATATAAAATATAATAAATTATAAAAATAAGGTCATTTGCTCAATTTTGTCCCATAGCACAGGCCACCCTGCAATGGCTCCTAAAAATTAATAAATCATTTCCCAGGAAACCTGCTGGTCTGTGTCTGAGGAAAAGACAGAATGTTATGTGGAAAAGTAAAAAAAGATTTTTTTACTTGTACAGCTATATATATATATATATATATATATATATAATATTTTATTTGAAAAATAAAATTTGGAAAGTAATAAACAACTTTTTAGCCACAGTAAGTAAACGATAAACGTGAAAGTTGAAACGTCATGATATGCTATAGCCAGACTGGAGATTGCATTTATTTATATTTTTTTCTGGGAAATCTCTGTTTCAAACTCTGCATGTAATGGTTTGAAGAACCATAAAACGCATTTCATTCACATTACTTGTGGATTGTTGACTCCTGAGGGAAAAATGAACGGAGTACTTGCAATGTAACGATTACAAGTTTCCGACTTGGCAAACCTCGTCTAATTTGGAATCCGTTCTTCGTGTCAGTGATTTTGTTCTTGAAATTGCTATCTATGTGGGATAAACCATGAACAGAGCTTCAAGGGATAGGAAGGTATGTGTGGGATAAACCAGAATACGCTTTCTTACTCTTTCTGGGTTCTCTTGCTGGGCATTTACTGGGAAAGGGAAGAAGTTTCGAGGTGTCCTAAAGCTCATTCAAATAGATTGTGAGTAATTCAACGTATTTGAAGGTTGCTGACTATTTTTATTTTTTCATTTGATGCATAAATGATTTTTCCCTCTGACCTGTATTTTAGAATAGGAATCTGATTGAACCTTGATATATGAAACCATTGGATGTAATTTAAATTAATCACTCACTAGCAAATACTTACCAACGCGTTTGTTTTGCTTTACACTCCGTACTGGAAACCTTTGACTTTATTAGTTTCTTGAAAATAAAGGATGCCTTCTGCGGTACATTTTACGCGCTGCCTCTAGTAGCTGGGTTCCGGCTCTGGTGATTGAATTTACATTGGCAATTTTTATTGATTCCAAGGCCTTCATTTCAAGAGATGTGGTCTTATTTTGTTTTATGACTTGTTCTTGTTCATCTGCAATGGCAAAATGCCCTTTGAAGATGATAATCTATATTAGTATCGCTGCAACGATGCCTTCTATCATGTCTTGCCAATTTATTTCTCCGGTTCCTTCTATCAGTGTATGCAAGATTTAGACAGTATGAAAGGTTTGTAGAACTGATGAACAAGCTTTCCCTATTTCTTATTCTTGAAGGGGGTTAGCGCAAATTTTTGTAGTCCAGCACTTGACAATTGAGTAAAGGTGCTACTCCAAGAAAGCAAACTGTACCTGTGATCAATAATGCTGGTATTTGATGGAAATTAGGGAAAATATGTGGAATGTTCATTTACGGTTGTGAGATTAGGGAAATCTAAAATTTAATTGGCAAGGAAACAGATCTGAATTGGGCTGGATCTGAAAGGAAAACGGATTGAAATGATGCAGAGAGGAAATTAAATCCTCATTTGGCACTTGAGTTTGATTTTCTCCTTCTGCCATGGTGCTTTCCTGACTTTTTTGGAAGATCATTTGTATCAGGGGATGAGTCACATTTAATTTACAAATATCAGTTGACCTTTGAACTTCTGATCTTGCTGATCTTGCAAAGGAAGCAAATGATCCATTATTGGAGGTGATAATAGTTTTTTTCTTTTAAAATAAGTTCAACCATTTTATGTAAGCTGAATAAATGCATGTCTAACAAAATATGTTTTGCTTTCTCAATAGTAAGTTACATAATGGGGTCATCTTTGTGCATGTTGGAAATTGAGTGATCTATGGCATCTTCACTATGATTCTTTCTTTGAAAATCTTATTTGTTATCCTTTAACTAAAAAATGATTTCAATGTGGATGTCAACATTACATGAATGTGCTTTATATGGATCTAAAATATAATATGTGCTGTCCATTATGTACTCAATGAGAGAGAGAGAGAGAGAGAGATTGTTACACTCTTTAGGGTAAGTTGAATAATAGTGTCCTTTAATCTTAGCAAGAATTTGATTTAAGTTACATAAATAAGTAATTATATGAAACTGGTGGCATTGAAACTGTAAAAAGAACTGAATCTGACAGGTTTTGAGTTAATTGTCCTGCACTCTCCTTTACATGCTCGAACCATTTCACATTTCATCATTACGTGTTTCATTGAAACATGTCTATTTCTTGCAACTCAGGTGTCTTAAAGATCATGAAGTTATTGCAGCTATTGATTTGCAGTCCATGGCTCCAACCGGAGATGTTATCCAGGTTCTGGAAGACATAACTATGCCCATAATGCTGGCGTGTATATTTTTTAATATTACCTAAATTATTTCATAATAACTCAATTAAGTGAAAGTAAAAGTTGAGAACAGTGCACGTGTCATGAATCTTGATCTGCTTCAGAAACTAGATTGTAGGCTTTGTTCTTTACATAGAGTCTTGGGTAAACCACGTTAGTTATGAATAGTAAGACTTCTCATAGATTTTATATTGAATATAATGTATGTGGGTGATCAAAACCTTTCCCTTTAAATTTGAGTGAAGATCTCTGAGCTGATGTTGTTGGTTCTTTTTATTTTTCTTTTGCTATTGGGTTGGGTGGATAAGTTAACATTTTGGAGAGAAGCTATTGGAAATTTGGATTAGGGTTCACTACTGAAACATACATATCTGTGTTTAAGAATTTCATTGTTCGAGTCATTTAACAATTACACATTCGATGCTCCTCCATCGTTTGAATTTCAACCTCAAATTTACTGCTCCCTCTTAGCATGCTTTACGTGTTTGAGATCCTAAGAAGCAGTAAGGTTTTGGTCCTGGTAATTTGATCAGTCTCTAATAACATTGCTGTTTATTCACTAGTAAAACATGTGCGTATTGATATTCACTCTACATTTTCAATTGGCTTATTTTCACAACTAATAAGGATGATATGGACCCCTTTGAATTAATTATTCATGAAAGAATGACATTTGGATCCAAACTTTGTCCCTACTAAAAAAAAAAAAATGATGTTGTTAATATAGTCTGTCATAGTTGTCAATCTCAAAAGGGTCATGCGTTCAAGGGACCAAAGTGTCACTAACTAGCTTACAAGGACCCAAATGTTATTCTCCCTTTTTTCATTCTTTGTATCGCACACCAGTTCACAATTAAGTTTGGCAGTATTACTAAATCTTATGCTAGATTGCTTCCAACTTGGTTAATCCTTGCAGGTTTAATTGATGTCGCCCATGTTTCTAAGGAAGGAGGGAAGTTTCTTTCACAAATATTTAGAAGACAACGCACAAGCCTTCTATAATGTCAGATTTGCTCTGTGGGAAATTTATATGGTGGGAACTTAGTTTGACAAATGCAAAAGGATTTTTCTAAATCTCCTTCATCCTTCCTTTCCAGTTATTTTTTGCAGCGTACATAAAGAAGGAACAATAAATTGTTTTTTCAGACTTTTGATTAACACTTAAAATGAAAGTTACAAACCTAAAGGTTAATACCATATGACTGGTGACATGGAAAGCTGCATCTCCACAATTCATAGATGTAGTAATATCTGCTAAAAAAGAATGACAAAATCCTCTAATATCATTTCAACAAGTCTTGTAAAGGGAATCATGAGCCAACTAGATATACAAAGTAATATAGTGGTACTTTGTAAGAAAAAGAAAAGCACCAAGTTGCTTTCTAAATTGATTTGATTCATGATAGCATGCCTTTTGTATGGTTAGCAAACCCACTCATGAGAGTATCTGAAGTTTCAGTTGTCCTTTTGAAATTGTTGTGCAGTTCTATGTCCTTGCTGCATACTCATCAACTGTCTTTGAAAAGTGATACAGGCGTATTAACTGTCTTTGAAAGTACTCAGAACTTCTTCATGATATCATTTAATTTTCACCACAATTTTTTATTTTCAATCTATATGCCTAGATCACTATAACATGCTCTTGCTGCCTGCGTCACCTTTGCATTTGCAGCTGAAATTATTCTTCCCTGTGGCAACTTTATCAAAACCAAAAAGCAGCCGCAATTTAAGCACGGGTGAGGATTTTGGTTTCCCCTTTTCCTACTACTCTAACTTTTGAGAGGTATGCTTATCATGTTCTTTACAGTTTTCTTCCTCCTAAGTTGTCTTCCATTAGGAATTGGGAGTCATCACTAAAGCATATCTGTTCTGTGACAAATGCAGATGAACTTTGAATTTGGAACCTGTATAATTTTGACGTTACCAAGTTAAGGTAATTTTTACACAGGAAGAGAGGTGGTTGATCTTATTTGTGCTAATTTTCTCAAGGTGCTGTTTGGTACATTGGCATCTTGATGTCCCAAGGAATTGGATACCTATGTATAACATTACAATAATGAGATGTACGCAACAGTTAATATTCTTCTACTACGTACGAGATGTATAACACATAAAGTCAATGTTTGTTCACATTTGTTCCACTCAAACAACTGAAAAATAGATTTCAGGTGTTTGAAAAACCAGCATTTCTATATATCAAACGCTGCAAGTGTTTTGAGGTTAACCCTTCAGGGGCATTTGCAGCCTGTGAAATTTTATTCCATTCCTGAAGGATTCAAAAGATCAGCATTGCTTGCCTGAGAAGGATGGAAGTCCCTCTAGGATAGATAATGAAGGTAATAAGGCAACTCAGTTTCCTATATCAAACCTACGGAAATTGACAGGAACAAATTTTAATTATAGATTAATTTTCCTCAAATACAAATTGTTTTATTGCTTCAAAGTTAGATTCTTCAGCCCTTCTTGAATGCAATTCAATGAGCACAAGCATCACGTTCCAAGTAAAACGCTTTTGCTCATTTATCATCCTTTCTTGTTTTCATTGCTCTAATCTCAGTTTTTTCATTAGGCTATGATGATTTTATAGTGCTTGCAGATTTTAGCGGGGGTTGATTAGGATGCTCCAATAGGATCTGTATCCCATTTCTTGCTTTACAGTTCCTTGGTGGCCGGTGGGCATGATATCCACTACGGGCCGAGGGAACGGGAGAAAAAACTAGTCATGGAATCCAAGAATTTGAAATCTCACCTTGGATTCTTGATCATGATAGGCACTTTCTTTCTTTCTTTCTTTCTTTCTTTTTGGTATTTTTCTCTAGTAAAATATGGCTATTGGATTGACCATTATTACCGTACGTGTGAACTGTAGCTCTTTCTTTTTCTGCCTGAACTATCATTGCCTGCCTGGTTGGCATCTTCCTTTTTGTTACAGAGATTTTGAAATTCTAAAATTCTTTACAGATAACCGTCCAAGCTTACAACTGTTCCACTGGATGATGCCGATGGCGATACTGTTTCCTGAACGAGGTTCTTTCGACATAAGCTGAACAAAAAGACAAGGTATCCCGCAGATACTGTTGCCTCCTTTATTTCCTATGCTTTTTCATATGGCAACAAACACCAGTGATATCGATCCAAACCTGGAGGAACATGACTTGCATCGCAGGGTTGCTGGATCATCTAGGACAAATTTCTCTGGTCAAAGATTGCTGCACAACATTAAACTTTGTTGGATTAAGTATATATTAAATAGCTTAAGCCAATTTGATGGGATTTACTTTGAGGTTAAATTTTCTTCTTTTTGCCTAGGTTGGTACTTCATTGGAGTTTCAGAGGCTTCAAAACCGTACCAAATAGTATTGAACTTCGTTGAATGAAGTATATATTAGGTTTGTCTTTTTATCAAAATAGCTTAAACTAATTTGATGGGACTTACTTTAAGGTTATGCAGCTTTAATTCATTCTTCAGTTAATCAATGTGGGATTTTTCAATACATTCTAATACAGAGAATATATCAAGGGTGATATTGGTTGATTTTTACTGTATGGGTGGCGGTGGCTTATTCACTCAATGTTGGATGAAAAGCTATGGTGAGTATGTGAAGATAATTAGGAAGATGTATGAGCTGGAGTACCTAAGTCTGACACGAGGCCTGGATTCCCGGAAATGCTCCTATCCTACCTCTAGGCTTGAGATGTGAATACTCCGTCCGGTCTTATTTTGTAAGTAATTTTTATTAATTTCATCGATATCAATATAATAAAAATATAAAAAATAAAATTTAATAAAATTATAAACATAACTTTTAAAAAATAAATAAATTATATAATATTTTTTTCTCACTTTTTAAGGATAATTTATGTATTTTATTTAAAATAAAATATTATTATCAATTTAATGACTCGTAAAGTAAAACATTTTAGCTTTTTAAAGGGTGACTAATAAAGTGAATTAAAGGGAGTGAAATTTAGGTATGCTACGATGCAAGTACATGCAATGGCTCAGATTTCGCCTACACATGTGAGGTGGTGCAAATTTAATCTTGATCATTGCATGGTCATAGATGTGTTGTACACGAGTGTCTCCCACGTACATACAACAACCGGCAGCGCATTTGAGCCTGCTGAATTCAGGGTGCTTCTAGTTACGAACGTGGCAGCTACCACAGCTAGCCAGTCCTCTGAAATACTGACTCGGTTCTTATTATGAGACAAATTTAGAGGCCTTTTTTAAATTTCTTAATACAAGGTAAAGTTAAAGTAATTAATATTTTTTTCAATTTTATTCTCATTTATATATTATCATTTAAATTTCTAAACAATAACTTATTATAGTTATTAATTACAAAGAAGAGGGAATTGGGAAAGTTCCATATATTTTTAATAATGTTAAAGCTGTAAAGAAATGTTGGTGTTACGGAAAGGTTTCTTAAAAACAGAGCACGTTTTACTGCCAACTAATGATTCTAACACTTTAATCATTATAAATGAGCCAAACTATCTAACTGTTGTCATTAATCATCGATATTTATAAAAATAATAATTCCTATCCAATGCACGTGAACATGTTGCCTCTTCAATGTCATTGTTCAGCTTGAATTTGAGCCCTTGTGAGTTCCAGTTTCAGTAGGTTAAATTCTAATCCCCTCCTCTTTAGTCCAAAGATATGATGTTTTAAGCTCTGATAAAATAATAAAATAGAAGTCAGGAATATGAAAATAAACCGAGTGATTATACCAACTACCAAGAAGCTGGCAATTTAATTTGACATTCAAACGTTTGCAGCATCAAACTCCACACTTTTATGCGTAAAAGAAGGAAAAGAAAAGGTTTGTAAGGCGCGAGATGGACTGTTCTGAATCCGAAGGCAACAAAAGATCACCAACTGAACCCAAAAATCTTTACTGATACAAAACTTTCATTTTTCCTATCTTTACTGAGCATGTTAATCCAAATCAACAAAGCATACCCTTTTCTCTATTATACATGCCTTGGAATCTTACAAAAAATTGTCTCTAACACCAATTTGCAGAGAACTCATCTGGAGGGTCTCTCCCTGGAGGAAGAAGAGTGTAAGAACTCAATGCAATCTTCTACAGCCTCAGCTCTGTGTGAATCGGTAGGATCTGATAAAGAACGTGACCTGACCAAAGTTGATGAAGAAGAAACCTTCCTGGACGATCTTCTTCTCATGGAAACAACCCTTACAGTAGCTCTCGCCACCTTTGCTCCGAGCCGCAATAGAAATTTCACCGGTGAGAATCTCGGGTCTTTTGGCAATCGGAAAGTCCAACTTCCGATTATCCTCTTTCTGTTTCCTAATACTCTTCCACTTCGCTCACCATGCTTGAGGAAGAAGGTTGGTTTCTCATTTACATCAGGACTGAAACACGCCCTATTGCTTTTTGTTGACATCTGCGAGTGGGAAAATGGGAGGATCAATTGCAGAAAAACCAGTATTTGAGCCTCGTTTCGTGGTTATTGAAAATAAACAGAGAGAAACAGAGGAGAAGCAGAGAAAGAGAGAGAGTAGTTGCTAGTGGGTAAAGAGGGGGCAGTTGAATGGCCTGGCAGGGTGTATATATATAGACAAAGAAATTATAGGTAAGGAAGCAACTTACAGTGGAGATGGGAAAAAAAAAGTGAATTATTTACTCTTGTCTTGTTTATAAATTATTTATATTAACCTTATTAATACTAATATAATAAAAATATAAAAAATAAAATTTAATAAAATTATAAATATAATCCTCAAAAAATAAACAAATTATATAATATTTTTTTATTTCTTCCTCTCTTATTTTTTAAAGATAGTGTAGACATTTCATTATGAAATAAAACATTATTATCAATATAATGATTCATAAAGTAAATCACTTCACTCCCCTAAAAAGTGACTAATAAAATAAATTAGAGGGAGTAACAATTTTCAAGAAAATTCAAATATGTATATGTTAAAAATGTAGACTCAAAATCATGAGTGTTTGGATTGGCTAGAAAAGTAATCCAGCTTAATCAAAGATCTCAAATCCAAGCCCTAGACATGCAACCATAATTAAATTATCTTTAAAAGGTATGCGTCCAAAAAAATTGCCTGCAAGCAATCAATCAAATTAATTTCTACAAACGATTTGGAATATCAAAGCAAAAGAAACAAAAATTAAGACCTGATTTTAGTGTGCTTTCATATTCGAAACTTGAAAGTTCATTAGGCTTGAAGTATCAACTATATGGTACCCCGTCATCTTGTAGATGATATGAGATAGCAAGAAGGGTCAATTCTTCATTACCTAAATTGCAGGCCCTGATTCTAATATTATGTCAAGAATTATTTAACTTAATTTTCAACTGTTAATTGAAACAAGAAATGCTTTAATTATAATCTAGAATATGAATGATGCCAACGACTAAAGGGAGCGCTGTTTCAATACGCAACAAACATTTCAAATTGCAAAAGTTCAACTTGACCTTGAGAAAAGATGATATGATCAGACATGATGCAACTGCCTTGCAAAGATGAGTGATTTGAAATATCCAAAAGTATGAGGAGCATATGAAACAAAAAATCATTGAACTGATGCCTTGATCAGTTTATTGAAATATATATTTTGTTTATAATTTGTCTGACCACAATTCGATCATAATATTAATTATGAATCCTTGAACCAGTATTTTTAATGGTTTGGTGATTGATATGTTTATATATCTATATATATATATGGTTGGGATGAGCGTTTAACAGTGATGATTTAATGGGGAGGCCTACCATAATTAATTAAGCTAAGCAGTTTGGAACAAGTGTGATTCATGAACAGGAGGAAGAGTGAGAGAGAATCTGAGAAAGATGGAAAAGAGAGGAGAGAGAGGGAGAGAGAAGAAGGGGTTTGGTCAAAAGAAAGAAATGGTGGAGCCATGTAGAATGGAGAGGGAGACAGAGAGTGAAACTGTCAAAGGTTAACGCAAAAGGAGATTGATGGTATGGGTAACACAGACAGACACAGAGTATCCTCTTCTCATCAGCGTTGCTTTTAAGGTCCTATTTGTTGGTCCTACCCCTTGCTTTTTTGCTTCCACTCTCCTTCTCACTCTCACTCCATAAGCTTTAAATATGAGAAGAAGAAAAATATTCTATATGCTGATAGTCTTCAATTACATATATATGTGTGTTCTATTCGTAATAATAAAAACCTGAAATGTTTCACCCACCAAGTGTTTATTTTTTTGTTCTAGATAACATGGCACAGTTATGTTGTGGGTTGTGGTGTGAAAGGAGTGAGAGAGAGGAAGAGGGAATCAGTTTGAATATGGAGTTGACGTGAGAATTGGGGAATTTTGAAGTCATGTTTCCCTTTTCTTCTTGTGGAAGCTACCTGGTGGTGCACTCGAAAATTCATGAGTTCCATTCCATTATATGCAAAAGTAATATATATTGTGAACATACTATTAGATATTCGCCGTTTATTTAACGTATCAAATGGGTTAGGGTGTTGAGTTTCTTTTCTTTTTTTTTTCTAGTTTGAATTGAATTTTAGATTTTCACTTCAATAGTAAAAAAGACATATTGAAGATTCTTCTAATGATTAAAAAAAAATTTCTGTTTGAGAGGTTAAATTTGTTATTACCGATTAAATTATAAGCTAATACTCCTTTCATATTTATTGCTGTTTTAGATATTTTGTTTTATTTAAAAATATATTTCATTTGGGTGTTCTATTGACTTGATTTTATGTGGAAATTTTCTAAAAGATAAGAAGCTCAGCTCCATTATAGGGTCCGCTTCTTTTAAATATTAACTACTACTTTTTTTTCCCCAAAGGAGACTAAGCATAGTCAGGAGCAAAAGAGTTGAATGCATTTATGTTGTTTGTGAGTAGGTGAAATTGGTGGTCACCTTTGCTCCTTCTTTGCTTCTCTGCATCCAAGAGCAAATTTGGACCGTTTAAATTAACTTGAACGATTCAAATTTAATTCTTTTATCTTTATTTTTATTTTGTATTTATTAAAATAAAACATTTATAAAAATTATAAAAAATATATTGTAATAAATCTGATCATGGATAGTCTAGATTTCAATAAAAAATAGGTCAATTTACAGAAATTTTAAAAAATTATGATGTTAAATTAGACTATTCAAATTAAATTAATATTGTCTAAACTGATAATGAGCATATTTATTTAAATTATTTTATAAATATTTATTTTTGTAATATAAATTTAGATTTTCTAAATTGATAATCAAATTTATTACAATATAATTTTTTATAATTTTTATAAATATTTTATTATACTAAATATAAAATAAAAAAAGATTAGATCTTAACTTTTCACAGATTAATGCAGAGGAAGAGGAGCAAAGGAGGAGCAGAGACACAGAAGCAAAGCCGACTCCTTCGAATTGGGCCAAAGAAAAGCCTCAGCCTACCTACCTGCGTTGTGAATGGTGAGGTTTGTGAGGATGGATAGCAATAATCACATCATAAATATGGAGACGTAGTCAATGGGCTTTAAAGGCCGTCTTAATGATGCCCTCTTTTTAGTCTTTTCTCACATGCCCAGCATTAATTAAACACTCACCCAATGCTTTTGAATCACTCTTATGGGTAGGGCTGTACAAAGAACTGGATAGGACTGTATTTCAGCCTAATTCGGAGTCTGATCTTTTTCATGAAAAGGATTAGATTAGGTAACCCGTAATCCGGTCTGGTCCTGTGAAAACTCGGAGATTAACAGGATCGGACTTGGTCCATATGACTGAGAGAGTGGTCCTGTTAGTCCAATACTCACTTGGCCTTTTTTTTTAAAAAATATTTTATATTTTTAAATAAACTCTGGTGCTTGCTTTTATTTGTTACAGATAAAATTGTCGTGAAATCACCATATATGTATTATTGCTTAGATCATTGCAAAAGAAATTACTCAGATAAAAACACCAAATATGCATTATTGCTTTATGGTGCGTGAAGCCGTGAAGTCAATGAACATAAAGCAAATAAGTAACTAACAACTCAGATCATTGCAAATGCAAATTAAAAGAAAGATATAAAACAAAAAAATAAAAAAGAAAATGAATTTCTGATGGTGAAAACTGAAACCGCTGAAACGCACCAGATTTGAGGAGTGGGGACGACAAGGAGAATGACAAAGGCAGCACCAGATCTGAGGAGTGAGGACGACAAGGAGAACGAGGAAGGCAGCACTAGATCTGGTCAAGGCGAAGCTGAGAATGGAAATGGAAATCTGAGGCAAAGCTAGGCAAAGCAAGTATCTTCCTTCTTCAAGTTGCGTTGCGTCAAGGCGTGAAGGTAGAGGATGAGATCTGGGTCGAGTTGCAGTTGCAGTTGTGTTAAGGCGTGGAGGCGGAGGGCGGAGGCCGTCGACTGGTCTAAGCATTGAGATCTGTATGGCTCACTGGAGGAGAGCAAGGAGGATCAAAGGTGGAGAGCAAGGGCGAGCGATGGTGCAACGTCATCGACGTGAATGACGGTGGTGGTCGGTGGGCTTCGGTGCACTAGAGCAGGGTCGAGTCACGCGTGAGTGGCTGAGAGTTGAGAGTTCAGCAGGGTCTGAGCACTAAGATCTATGTGGCTGACGCTGAGACTAAGTGTGCTATAGTGTTCAGGATTTTTTTTCAGTTAGAGTGTGTGGCGTGCAAGGCTGGACGGCTGGACCTGACTAAAGACTATTTTTTTAAGACTTATTAATTAATAATTTATTAATTAATTTTAATTATATTAAAATAATTATGTAGGACCAGACCGAACCACTTAGTCCAGAAGCTTGGTCTCTAGTCTGATCTTACCAGAAAAATCAGCCCTGTCTTTTTGGTCTTTTTGGTCCTATAGGACTGGACAAGACTGAGTTTTCACGGGTCGGACCGGATCAAACCAGACTACGAGACTTTTGCACAGCCCTACTTATGGGCTTCATTGCCTCTTAAAAATATTCCCTCCATTTTTATTTATATAAAAAATTATATTATTTAATTTAAAAACATCAGTTAACTATAATAATTATATCTAAAAATAAAAAATAAACTAAAATGTTATATATTAATCAATATAAATAGATATTAATTATTTTTTATTAATATAAATTATAAAAAATAATTTAAAAATGTATAATAAATGTTTATTAAAATAGGTGATTACCTCTATTAACCAACTGGTGAGAGATAAGAATGAGAAATGAGAGGACTAGTGAGACTAATTAATAGAGACATCAATAATGAAAGTGTGAAGAAAATAAAATAGTTAAAAAAAGTGGAATTGTAAATAGTTATGATCTAAAAGAAATTTAAAATTATAAAGAAGTTCTAATAAAATATAGATTTGGTCAAAGACTATTTATGTATCCAAATAAATAACTTGGTTCAAATTTAAATATACTCTCTTTGGTCATATTTATTAGAATAAAAAAAATTTAAATCTCGGTAACTCTATTTTAAAATTTAATATGTTTTTACCTTTATCTCTAATAAAGACAAAAAAAATCCTTAATCATTTTTTTTACCATTTAACAAGTGCATAAAGGTAAATATGAACA